AGCTGAACTGTATTTAATTACTCATTTAAATACCTGAAATTTGCCCTTGAGTATTAAAGTCACTATCGTGTATTGAGTTGAAGGTTGAGACAGCAATGTCAAAAAGTTGTATATGTGAAGAGGAAGGTTTTAATGGCCTCCAGTGTTTTCAGTACATGTATAGAAAAGAGAGGATAATTGATGGGAGTAAGGCAAGTTGCCTGGAAGGTTGTATCTGCCAAGAACTTGTCAGAACTTATTTATCCTTATTATGATCTAGACTATGAGTTGGAGAAGATAAGGGAAAAAGATACACATGTCAGTTTGTGATTAGAGTATTGGGAAATTAAAGTACATCTTTTTCAGACTCAAAATCGGATTCTCTTGTCATCACTATTAAAATGGAGCAACTACTCTAACATTCTTACCCCTAACAGGTAGGTACTGTAGTTTGTAACATGCACCTGCAGAATGGAAAAAAGAATCTACAAACTTGGATGAAGAATGTTTTTTTTTGCCAGTTGTTTTATGTGCTTCTGGTGTGATTGCAATTTATTATTCTCTGTTTAGAGATATCTAAACTGAGAATAGTAAGTTGCAATCATACCGGAAATAAAATAAAAACCACTTTATTTAAATTGCAGGGCTCATCCTTGCTTTCCTCTAACTGCAGCAGAAACACATCCCAGTAATGTTTTTTAATGCTACATTGTGACGATGTGCTTTTCTCTCATCCCACAGTTGAGACATCTTTAGCTTTTCCCATTTGAAGTATACTGTATTTCCCCTCTTCTCCAATCACTAGCTTTTTATATTGTTTTTGAGGATACTATCTAGGCCAGAGGTCCCCAACCTTTTGGACACCAGGGACCGGTTCCGTGGAGAGAGGTTTTTCCGTGGACCGGAGGGTGCATGGTTTTGTGTGCTGCTGCATCTCATGGATGGGGCTTTGGTTTGTGCGGCCCAGTTGCTGGCATGCCGTGGCCTGGTACTGGTCCACGGACCAGGGGTTGGGGACCCCTTATCTAGGCCACTCCATTGACAACATGCTTGGTGATACTGGGATCAGATCTGCCTACCTCCTCTTCAGGCTGTTGTAGCTGACCTTCTCACCTTTGGTCACTTACAACTGCCTTCTGTGGTCCTTTGAGCTTGGACTGCAAGGAGGGACCAGACTTCTAGTTTTCACAGAGGCTTCCAACTGCTCAATGCCTGATCCTGCTTTCTGAACTATTCTGGCCTTATGCAGGTCTCTATTTAACACCTTGTTTAAAAAACAAGACTAGCACTAGACTCTTGTGAAAGAGCAGTAGTGCTGCACAATCTGATTTAAACTGAGAAAAAGAGCTTGGTTGCTGATCAGTCACGATTGGGTACATTATGGTTTTCTGTTTCTTCTGACAACAGAAGGTTTGCATGACTAAACTTTTTACTGGTTATCTGAGCTTGGAGGGACCATGGCATTCCCTGGCTCATTCTTATTTCATGACGATCCATGGGGTTCTTCTGGATGTTTCTGGCCACAGGGAAAGAACTGGATTCACTTACTGTTTCTGGCATACACTATATGTCAAGAGTGGAGTTCTTTCCTTATGGACTGTTCCTTGTCCCTTCATTCTATGCTCTTCCTCTATACCGCAACCTGTCAGCTTGGTACTTTTGGATACACGTTTAGCATTCTTTCAGAAGGCATGGCTATAGACATGGACATCTCTTTTATGTTTCTAAGCTAGTAATTGGACAGTAGTCCCAATTGTGGTCTCTAACTGAGGACTACCTATAGCAGTGATGGCGAACCTTTTAGAGACCGAGTGCCCAAAAACTGGCCCCACCCCTGCTCCACCCCCTGCCCCGCCATTGCCCCACCCTGCCACGCCCCCACCCCGTCCCCCACCCCACCTGCCTGCAGGGCCACTCACCGCCTCCAGGGCCCATCGCAGATTGCCCAGGCAGCCCAGCAGCGCCATGGCGCTGAATTTTATACTTGGCTATTATGTTTTATTACATTGTTTAATGCTTTTTCACAGAATGCATTCTTGAAGCAAAATTCTTTTGGATGGAAGGAATGTAGTCAGTTGTAGGACAAAATCAATTAGAATTAAATCTGACAAGCCAAAGACTTTAATAGTAATGATTTTTTCTCAGTTGATTCACTCTAAACCAGAAATTGCAACAAGAAGTCAGTTAAAATTCCTGGTTACAGAGTAAATTTACTAGCCTTTCTTTGCAATGAATTGATTTCTGATTTATCCTTTATTTTGTAGACTTACACAGAATGCTGGAATTATAATGGAATCTAATCTTAATTTTGGCTTTAAATATAACTGAATTTGTTCTAATTATGAAATAATTGTCTTATTGAAGCCCAGTAGTGTATCACAATTCCCTGCTTCTTTGAGAGTATTTCAATGTTATATAAGCACATAGGTAAAGTCAAAATGAATTTAATTTGTTTAATCCCACAGAATGCCAGTTTATTATGAGAGCAGGTTTGATAACCTGAAGACCATAAGTTCTAGTCCTACCTTAAACACAAAGCCAGCTGAATGACTCAGATTTATTCACTGTCTCACAGCCCGAGGAAAAAGGCAATGGCAAACCACCTTGACAAATCTTGCCTAAAAACTGTGTGGTCTTGTTCAGGCAGTTGCTAGGAGTGAAGACTGACTCAAAAACACATACACACACTCAAACAGTCCCAATATAATTTAAAGTAATTTGGTAAATGGGGAACATTTCTTTATAGAGCAATTCTGCCAACATCTTTTTTAAAAACGGTCATTTCATTAATGGTAGATGTGCAATTTCAAAGTACCATCTGTCCTTTTTTCTGTGTGTGTGGGGGGGGGAAGGGGGTTGAAGTCAATTTTCCATCATCACCATCTTTTTCGATTTAAAGCTAAAGAAAACTGTAGATAAGAACTGTCTCCTCTTTAAATTAAAAAGTAATTAAATTAAAATTGCAGTTGGCATTGAAATACATCTACAGGAAGTCCCAAAGGTGCTTTTTCAAGAGGCAATTGGATTTTCTTGTTTTCTTTGAAGACATTTCACTTATCCAAGAAGCTTCTTCAGCTCTGACTGCATGGTGGGCAAGTGAAGGATTTATATTCCTTGCAGACAACTGGTCATTAGAGAGTTGTTGAGACCCCTTGGAGGTTTATCTGTGTCCTCAAGGTCACCTGAGTGGTGCCCTGATTTTGAATTTTGAACAGTCCTCTCTCAATAGAGGGGGAGGGATATGACATCATCTATCTCCAGTCTACAACACAGACCTTTCAGCAGTTCCAAGAAGGCTCCACACCCATTTGCACCACTCAGGTGACCTTGAGGACACAGATAAACCAAGTGACCTCAACAACTCTCTAAAAGAATGCAAATGACCACCTTCTGCAAGGAATATAAATCCTTCGCTTGCCTACCATGCAGTCAGAGCTGAAAAAGCTTCTTGGATGAGAAGTGAAATGTCTTCAAAGAAAGACAAGAAAGTCCAGTTGCCTCATCTTTGGGACAACAATGACCTGGATGACTGAGAATCTCTATAGATATCTACAGGAAGCTAAATTGGTTCCAAATTCAAAGATGCTAATATATTTTGGAAGCTGTGCATTTAGAAAGGAGAAAAACAGGAAAGTGGTAAAAGCTGGCAAATAGATTTGTCCGTTTATTTATTAAATTTCTATCTTATCTTTCCTCCAGAAGATTGAAGTACAAGGGCAAGAAGAGGGACACATAGTTTAATCTGGCCAGAATAATCTAGTTGTCTCCAAAGAGGTGATTCTATGTATACTATTTGTGTTCCTTTTGGAATTTGTATTGAGGACCCTTGGAGCTTAGTGATTCTTATTCTTATTCATAGAAATGGGCAGCCTGTGGCCCAGAGCCTTCATATGAAATTGCTGCCTAAATTTTGTTAGTTTCATTATTGCAGTTCATAGAGGTAAAGGTGAGGATAGAAGCTGGAGCCTTCTAGAAACAAACTGTGGCAATCTGGGGCTGTTTGGAGGGGAGGCAAAAAAGAGTGGAACTGCTTATGGGGAAGGGAAGAATGAATCTAGTTTGCCTAGTTTGAGCTTCCCTTCACATCCCTAAAAAGTTTAATCCCTGTGAAAAACGTCAAAAAGAAATCAATCCTGTCCCTTATTGTAATGTCACCGCCCTTACAATAACATCAGCTGCAGCCTTCCCATTGTGTGTGTGGGGGAGAGTTATATCCCTTCAAATTTGGGAAAGTTGCATGTCCTTAATGTAAGACCAAAATTACTGTAGGAACACTTATCCCACACAGAACATTTTGCGACCTGTCTTGACTACCATTAATCTTTCAGAAAATGCTATTTGCCTTATTTTCTCATAGTAACTCAGTTCAGACCCAGTAGCTGCAATGGTAAAATAATGACTTTCAATGCTTCTTTGTTTTGTTACGCTATAATCTGATCCATAACTAGAAATAGAAAAATGGATTTGTAGTTTCTTATGTCATTTATTGACTTTCATGTTGATTCAGTTTAGTTGGCTTTTGTGACATCTGTTGTTTATGTAGTTTGTATACTCCAAAGAAATAATATTCCTCCATTATACAACTTTGAAAGGGTGAAGGAACTAACAACTATAATTAATATTTGTAATTAAGCTGAGATCTGGAATTTGTGGAAGAAAGGATGCTGTTTTCATTAACAGAATGCCTCTGATAGTGATAAAATGATGGTTGAACCAATTTTCATTTATTTTCCCTTTCCCGTACAATTGAGGGGGAAGGTCTCCGGCTTAGCAGGAGAAGGGAAATAAGGAAAAATGGTCTCCCTCCCATCTTTCTCTTGATAAGAGAAGAGAGTCTTCTGTGGACTCTGCTTATTGGATTCAGTCTGTGCATTTTGAAAGTTGTCTTCCTACCTCCCCTCCCATCAAAAGGAGGGAGAAATGCCAAGATAATTGATAGCAGGTCAGAATGTTAATTTAATTTCTCCTGAAAAATTGACTATATATGAAGAGACAATCATAGACATTTTGATTTCTTTCAGATCCTCCGCAACGAGATGACACAGTTGTAATAACTCTGGCATCAGTATCTGTACTGGCTGTTTTGATGGCTGTTATTTTCTTTGGATACAGAATGTTAGGAGGTAAGCTTTTAAAACATTTTGCCTCTATTTTTCCTTGAGATAATGTTCACGTTGCTATTATATTTGTTTTCTTTAGTTACTTACTCAGTTTTGCTATATATATATATATTAATATTCCACCTACCAACTCCTCAGTATGTTACAATCTGCTAGACGGCAATTTGCTTCTCTTCTACTATTAGACATTCACAGGAGAATACAGGGAAAAAAAGCTTTTGTCTTTAGGCATTACACTTGAACTGGAGCACCTTACATTCCAAAGGATTCTGTGGCAAATAGCTCTAAATATCAGAGTAAAGGCATTGGGTACCGGATCTGAAAAAGTAAAGTTTGGACCCTTACAATATTATCCTTGCCACATATTCCTACCATAGCTTCTTCCTTCTTAATGCTCTCTGGCATTTCTTAATCTTGGGTTCCAAATGTTGCACTATAATTGTCAACATCCTCATCCATCATAGCAGTAATGGATTGTAGGAATTAGTTAAATTTTATTGCTATCATAGACCTGAAGGATTGTGGAACTTTATTCTTTATTCAGCAACATGTGAATGCCACATTTTGAAAGAAGTTTCCTGGCTAGGTTAAATCCAGCCACCATCACCATCATTTTAGCCATTGTCTGTCCACTGCAGAATGAAGGACTCTTCAGCCTGTTTCCAATCTATACGGTCCTAAGCTTTCTTTTGTCAATTGGGTCCGCAATACTTGCATTGTATTACTTCTGCTTTGTTCTTTTCTCTTCGTATGAGCTTTGAAACAAAAGGAATAGAAGTTCACAGACTCAAAATTATGGTTTCTTGTGCTCAAACAAATCAAGTTTTGTCAATCAACAACAGATCTGATTTAAAACCACCTTTATTAGTTTTAACTAATATGTATGCGCTTAATTATAATTCTGGATTCAGACATCACACCAAGTCTCTTGTGCAGTTTACTTATTCTGCCATGGGAAGTAAAGAGCAAAGCACTGCAGATAGCCTGAGTGAGTTGACCTATATATCTCATTCACTCTGTGGTTTATAAGTCAGAATTGCAGGACTATTGAAATAAATCAAGAAGTTTGATCAGTTTGAAGGGCAATATAATTCATATCTTCATCTTTCCTCAGGGATCCGTAAAAAAGGCCTGCATACTATGAACATGATGGAAGCAGCAGCTTTAGAACCCTCATTAGATCTGGATAGTTTGAAACTACTGGAGGTGAGTTTACCATTTACAATTTCCAGTTCTGTGTCTTTATAATTCACATGATTTATTAATAACATTATGTAAGAATTTAGGGTGATTTGGTAAGAACAAGACATCCGAAGAAGACATAATTTCTTCTCAATTAACATTTGAATTAGAACATGCATTATTTGGGGATGAAATTCAATGTGCAAAAGAAAGACTTCAAACCATGAATACATAAAATGCTGAAGGTCATTAAAATCAATAGATTGAGTGTCCTGAACTTTAAAATGTAACTGTTTCTTTCTTTAAAAAATTCACAGCTTATTGGTCGAGGGAGATATGGAGCTGTATACAAAGGATCTTTAGATGAGCGTCCAGTGGCTGTAAAAGTATTTTCTTTTGCTAATCGTCAGAATTTTATAAATGAGAGAAATATTTATAGAATCCCACTGATGGAACATGACAATATTGCTCACTTCATTGTGGGGGATGAGAGATGCACTGCAGATGGACGGATGGAATATTTATTAGTAATGGAATATTATCCCAATGTAAGTAATTTCTTTTATTTCAGACAGCTGTAAGAAAATAAAGATAAGAGATACAATTATTTTTAAAGGATTATTTGAATTGCTTTTTCAATAATCTATGGGTGCTAATCATATGGTAAACTTTTCTTAGAAGGGCATAAACACTATTTTTGGTCTTGGTGAAAATCACAATGGACTCAACTAAACATTGCTACTCATTTAGTGAACACACCCGTTGTAGTTGGTAGTTTGCAAGCCAATTTTTGGGAGCAAGGTCTAAGAACAGCAAATGCAAAGCTACCATAGCTTTTTTGTCTTCCTCCAAGTTTTCTGTCATCTACCAGAAGTTGTTCCTTCTTCATCTGTGAAATAGGCTGAATTCTCCACTAGCTGGCCAGGATCCTTAGGATTCTTCTGTCCTAGTATCAGCTTGAGAAATAGCCACTATTGAGGTTTAGCCCACCCAAGTCTAAACACAGCTAAAAAGGGAGAAAAAATACTGTTTCATTGCATTCCTGATTCTAGTTCTGGCAATCTTTCCACAATGGCCATCTCTTTTCCACTGCCTTTTCAGTTCCTACTGTACAGCCTTCAGTGACTCCTATTTAGGCACAGAAGTTGATCTCAGAAAAAGGAGACTCATGACGGATTCTCCTTCAAGTTTACTATTCCATACTGTCCTCTTATCTGTTTCAGAGAACTGTGAAGATATGGCTATTCAAGAAAGTATTTATAGATAATGAGGATTAGCCTGTCCCCATTGGATGGTGCAGCTGGTGCATGTTTTTTTTTATATATTGTGATTAATATTGTTTCTAACCTTGTTATTCTAACATATGTATTAGTGAGGATAAGACCAAAGTCATATTGATTGGGAGTCGCCCTCCTAACACATTAATCGCAACTGGCAAAAGCCAATAGAACATACCTTGGCATGTTCTGGCAACAGTTTACATAACTTGGTAGCATCTTATCACAAGATAGAAGCATAGATACAGATGTCAAACACAGAATTGGTAAAGCCTCAGCAGTATTCCAGCAATTATGACCTATTTGGTCAGCCCCAACAATAGATAAGACCACGTTACAGCTTTATAAGATTTTACCAACATCATTTACCAATAGCGATCTATGCCAGTGAAACATGGACAATAACGGCATGCACAGCACAAAAGCTCAATGTGTTCCATCAGTGTTGCCTATGGAGAATTCTGGGTGTCACTTGTCACAACTGTGTCACAATGAAGAAATTTTCCAGCAGAGTGGATCTTGGAAATTGCAGACCATTGTGATGGAGCCACGAATGTGCCTAGCTGGCCATATTCTTCGCTTGCCAGAACATCGATGCCCCAAAAAGTTGTAGAATAGGAGCTGCCAGAGGAAAAGGGAAGGCAGGGTAGACAACGCAGAACTTGGTGACAGACACTAAAAGATGACGTACGGACAGTGGACATAAGTGGGAAGATGTCAAAGATGCCACCGTGTATAGGATTCATTGGAAAAAGCTTGCTGTCCTATGCACATCACGTGAAAGGAACCAATGATGATGATGATAACCTTGTTATTTATGAATGTAATATCCTTGGGGAACTGAGCTGCATGTAAACCATACTAAATATCAGGATAATCAAAATTAAGAATATCCCCTTCAGCTGATTCCAGATCACTGGAACTGTAGTCAGTCACATAAAGTCCATTCTGCTTCTAAAGGTGTCTTTTTGCAGTTTCAGTTGGATCCTTGAACAATCACACTGATTATACAGTAATAATTGTAAATAAAATGGATCCTGGAAATCTTACCAAATGGGGTAGTTTTTAGTGGCAACTGGACATCTTTATAATAAAAACAGTGTAGCAAAATGTGGATTAATGTTTCAGGAACTCATTCAGATGTAGAATCTTTGTTTGAATGGGATACACTGTAATTTCCCTTCAAAAGAGCTACTGAGATGTCCACTGATAGTTGGAGGATCTGGTAGTTACCTTCTTGGTATCTTCTGTTATCTTCTTAGAAGCCTCCCACAAAGGTTTTTCCATGCAGCTAAACGGAAATCTTTTGAAGACCGTTGATTGGAAATAATTTTTTTAATTCTGTTTGGCTCTCCCCCTCTCTGCAACCTCTTGCAACTATATTCTGCTTCCCCCGCTCCCCCTTTGGGAGGAAGTACTTTAGCCTGTAGCAACCCTCTTATTCTCTGTGGTAACAATAAAGCAGAAACTCTTACTATCATTGGAAATATTGATTTGCACTTTGGATATTCATCATGCTTTCACATTTTTCCTGGACTGTACAGCACTGTTTCATTAAGGCCAGTGTTTGTTTCTTGTTTTCCAAGACCAAAGCAAACAGTAACCAAAAGTGCATTATTCTTATTGACTATCATCACCGTCACCCTCCATGCTTTCAAATGTTGAAATGGCATCTTAGAAACACAGATTATATAAACACATGTAGAAGATAAACACTAAGAAAGTTCCTTCTTATTTTCTCCAGGGTTCTTTGTGCAGATATCTGACTCTCCAGACTAGTGATTGGGTGAACTCTTGCCGAATGGCGCATTCTGTAACTAGAGGCCTGGCATATCTTCATACAGAATTACCACGAGGAGGTAAGATAATAAGTGTTTCAATTCTGAATTCCTCCTTTAAGTTATGTCAAACTATGGTACAGTTTGATACCTATTGTTAAACATAGAATTTCATATAGAAATGAAAAAAGAAAAAACATACAAAAACCTAATAAAAATGACCACATATATCATTAAAAATATAATCTTAGATTCATGGATCTGAAAGGAATAATTTGGACCATGAAATTCAACTCTTTGCTTACTGCAGAACAGGTGCACTGAACAGTCCAGTTTAGAGGAGCAATCTAATCTGGCAGTTGAAACAGGAGCTTTGAGTCTTGGAGAATCTCCAAACTACACCCTAGTTCTATATGTGGAAGTGCCACCCTACTCAGAACCAATGGTGAAGAATCTGTGGCACTGGAAAAACCATGTATTCATAGTCATTCAATCTTGTCAGGATTGAGTGTAAGCCTGTTTCTCCCCATCCAGATGCAGTAGCCTGTCTATGTTATCCAGAATTACTGAGAGATCAAGATGAACCAGGATGGTCATACATTGACAGATCATCAACAAATGTCTATGGAGATTCTCAATCATCCAGGTCATGGTTGTCCCAAAGGTGCTTTTTCCAAAAACCAACTGGCCTTTCTTGGTTGTTTTTTTCTTTGAAAATGTTTCACTTCTTATCCAAAAAGCTTCTTCAGCTCCTTCAATGAACTGAAAAAGCTTATTAGATGAGAAGTGAAATAAACCAAGAAAGGCCAGTTGCCTTTTGGAATAAGCACCTTTGGGATGTTCATCAACAAATATTATTGGTGCTATCTGTACATTAAGCCCCAGTTGTGTGTGATTATTGGTGTGTATCAGGCTCTGAATAACTTGAGCTCAGGTCTGTGGTTGCATCTAAATAGAAATAAATTCCAAAACACTCATGTTCCTCTTCTTTGTTGGGCCTAATTTTCTGATTCATATAGAAAAGTATTTTTTTGGTAGGTGGAAAAAAAATACTTTTTTTATCATACATTCCCCTCTGAAGTTGGGACCATGTCTAGTTATACTGACAGAAATATTAGTTTTCATGCATATCATGATATTTATATATAGTTTCTTAGACTGTAAAATACTTTCAATTACATAAGAATTCCCACTGGTTGCTTTTGAAAAAGTAACCTTTCCAATGGTAGCTAGAATTTTAAAAATAAAAATCACACTAATTAAAAGCTATACCTCTCTAAGCAAAACTGAGACCTATTGCAATTAATTAATTATTGAATTATCAAAAGTGTAGACTTTTCGATTTATAGAAAAGGACAACATAATGCCTCAAAAAGCTCAAACTACAGTTGACCTCCTATAGTTACTTGGTTGGCTGTATTTCCTGTACAGATATGGATGTCGATACAAATTAGTTTTTCCATACTTGAACCAGAAATACCTGGTACACTGTTTCTCTTGGGGCTAGCTGTGTTATGTCAAAATGACTCCTATATTTAAAGATGGTTGATGTATAACTACTGTTCTGGGTAACAGTGCTTTATTGTGTATAGAATCCCTTTTCTCTTTTTTAAGGTAGGTCTAATATCTAATATTCATGCAGCATAACAGGGATATATTTCTGTAGCCAGGGGTCAAGCAGTGGAATTATTAAGTGATTTTGCATCATGATACAGGCATCAAAATAAAAATAAAATGTGTTTTAAAAATAACTTACATTGTGTAAGAACACCAAATCTTTCCTGTAGATATTTTGATGTCATGATATATTGAAAGTCTCATAAGATTTATGGCAAAAAACTAAAATCTCAGAAAAAAATAGCAATTTAGTGTTTAAATTTGGCCACTTAGTTTTAGTGTTATTTTGCATAAGTTTCTGCAGATGCGGTTTGGGAAGTTGCAAGAAGTTCCTGAAAGTTTTATAAGAATTTGTCTGCCCATGCTATCGGTAGTTCTTGTATACCTGAAAAATTAATAGATTTCTCACAAATTTTAAAAGTATTTTATTATGAAATACTAATGGCTGAGTGACTCCAGCATAGTAAGATGAAATCTATAAATAATATAATATTTGAAGAGATAAATAAGAAAAAAATCTAGGTTGTTTCTCTCCTTGATTAGTTTCCA